GAGAAGCTCACTTGAGAAGTATGAAAATGAGATGTTATATATTGTCAGTATATTTTAAAATATAAATAGATTATAATGTAGTTTCTTATTTTATGGGTACATTTCACAGAAGCTGACGTAACAAAGTATTTTTGTCCTCATCTGTTAAATGTTGAAAAAATACAAAAAATCAGTTTATTCATCTAAAAAAGTATTGTTGCTATTTTGACTGGGGCATGACCAATACGAAAACTGATACTGATACCGATTTTAGGGGGATAAAAGCCTGTTAACTGATATCACTTTATATAAGTGTGTATTTATGATTTGGATTTAAATTTTAGGTCCCATAAATCTGCCATTTGAATAACCTGTAGATTATAGACACATGTTCAAATTATTACAAAGGAATTTCATTGATATTTTAAAAAAAAGTCTCCGTAGTTAACTGGATAAGAAAGTTATTCAGAGTAGCTTGATATGAAATGTTCTGTAGAAAATCTTATCAAGTCAGACTTGTTCACAGTGGTGGAACCAGACGTCTAAAGATGCTTATAAAAGCCTCCTCAGAAAAGGTCATTCCATGAAATGATTATGAATAACCTGCCTGATGCCTGAGACATGCCTGTTTTACAATACACTGTAAAAAAGAAAAGTTGTTTTAACTTAAAGTTTGTGTTCAGGCTGCCTTAAAATCTTAAGTTAATTCAATTTTGAATAGCAAGTTAATAGAACAAGAATCTGTGTTTTATGCCTTATCAATTTATTATTTGAAGTTTTAAGTCAGCCTGGACACCAACTTTTGAAGTTAAAATAAATAGTCCCCAAAGAAAACATTATCAACATTACAAATAAAACCCAGAAGACTCGTGTAGGTTCACTGGTGGTTTTGGATAGTAAATAAAATGGCTATATTTGTGTGACATTGTGACTCCTGGTTTCTGTCACCATAACTATGAAGAAATTTGAGTCAGTAAGTTTCTCTACAATGAACCATTTCGCATCAAACCCCTCAATGACTTTGTTTATCAACGAATTAGCAATTAATTATGCAGAAATTATGAAAAATTGTCTGGTGAAACTGTTGATTCTCAGTAGTGCTAATGTTAAGGCTGGGTTTAACACCAGGGTTGGGGTTAGAATTAAGTTTTGGGTTAAGGTAATATCAGGGTTAGAGTGAGCGTTGAGGTTAGGCAAAATTAAGATGAATTTAATAGATATTTAGTTAACGGTAAAGGCAAAGTAAGTATCTACAAAGCAGGCTGTCCAGAACAAGTGTTACCTAATTTGAAACTCTAGTAGTTTTGGTGTTTTGGTTAAATTATGCTTTACTAACTAATATGATTGTCCGTTCTCAGTTGTCTCGTTTTCATCCTTAACAGAAACTGATCAAGTCTTAAAATATAATAAATATTATAGCACTGGGGTGAGTGTGTTATTTTAATGTTAAGGTTACACATTTTTACGGCTGATATTACTGTCATATAGATAAACTTGAGGTATACTTCTGTTGGACTACACAGTGACACAGCTGTCTGTGCTTTTGCCCGGTTTTAGAGAAATCACAGGTACGAAATTCAAAAAGTCGCTACTCACTAGTCGCTAACATTTTATTGCCGATACTTTTGCTGATAAAACCAGTAAAACCACAGGTCATCAGTGTCAGCCTATATTATCAGTCAACCAGTATATTGGTAGGGCTCAAATCTTGACTGACTGGTACACAATGAAGGGTAAATTCCATATTCATCCATACTATTGATGTGTTTTTCTTACTGCAGCAGTAATATTACCCAATGTTCCTTGTCTGCTAATGCAGCAGTGTGCTATTTTTGACGAGGTCAGCTGTCCTCAGCGCATGTCCTGACTGAAGGCCCTATGACTTCATTGGTTTGATTTGAAAGGAAACCCAGGCTGGTGTATACTACTTTAGAGTGGAGGAGTGCGTTAACAACTACTGCCATTTCTCATCTGTGGTTTTACACCCATTTGACGAAGTCCACTGCCCTGTGCTTAGGCCAGGGACACCCTGAGAAGTCTAGGTTCTGTATTTATGCTATAGCAGTGAGCTACCATCTTGCTTTCTTAGCAGCACCCTGCGTTTTCCTCGTAGTATCCAACTAATATGATCAGCACAGATGCTGTAATAAAATGAAATGAAATAAACAAACAAAAAAAAAATGTGGGACTGAAAGTTGTCTCTTGGCACGCTGACCTAAAATTTGGTGAAGACTAGCCACGTTTCCCCTGGGATTAATCCAGTGTGGCGTACAGAGCGTGGCTCAGCCTGTAAGGATTATATGTGCTGGACTTGCGCTCTCGTTGCCCTACTTTTCATTAAAATATCAGCGAGAGAGAGACAGCGAGAGAGAGCGCGAGAGAGAGAGAGAGATAGAGACAGAGGGAGGAGGTGTATTGCAGGAATGCTTGGACAGATGGAGTGGGGGTTTCATTTAACTGTACCACGTGGAGAGAAATGCTCTGACTTTCTCTTTGCAAGTCTGTTCTATTTCATGATGATATTTAAAGAATCTGATTTTAGGTCTCTGTTGACTAGATTGAGTTAATATTTTGGCCTGCAAGGGATTGTGGGATTGTCGCATGATCTGCTTGGCCACATGCACTGTCATATACTCATACTTCGACCCCCAACTAGCCAGCAGTGGCGGTGTGCCTTAACAGAATTGCTAGGATTGTCCCTGCAGAGGCTACTAAAATATAAATGAGCCACTTAAAGACAGGGGCTGTATTGAGCCTGTGTTTAACAGGGATCGCAGGATTTTTTGTCACAGGATCTTCTGGCTTCCATCTCAGGAAGTCTTCCTGCCCCTCGCCAAGTGCCGATTCAGAAATGCAGTCTGCAGTCTCGGTCCAGCACGCTGTGGACTTCTAGAACCGAAGATAAAGACTATAAATTCACACACAACGTGTAAATGGTTTCAGACCCAAGGGGAGTTTTTTCCTTTCTTTTATGGTTTTCTCTTTTAGGGATATCATGGAATGTTTTTAATAGACCGTGAGAATCCTTTCAGTTAATGCAAGTGTTTTTGATATTACAAATATTTTTACAGCACAAAATCTAACTATATTCCATGTACGGGGTGTATTGCCTCATAACCCTTTGATTATAAAAGCTGAATATTAATTCATTTCTGTGAAATAGAAAAACACATGTCTGTAAATTGAAGTTAATTTGAATTTAATTTAGTTCTATTTTATTTGTTTAATTGTCATGATTGTTGTATTTTATATTTAAACTCTGTAATTATTATTGTAATACAAAAATGTTAGAACACCTGAAGAAAAATTGTCCAATCAGGTTTTTTTTTTTCATGGTTTCTAGGGAGTACAGCCAAGCCAGCTCTCCCATTGGTTAGGACTTCAGGAGCTGAACTCAAGGCCTAACGTGTCAGATTAGCCACTAACATTATTAGCAATTGACAGAGAAATCAACCAATTATGCATGGAACCAATTTGTTGAGGAAAAATACCACTCTAGGCCTTCTGGAAGTCCTAGATATGTAACTGATTGTGAGAACACATGCTAGTCTGATATATGCATTTCAGTCAGATGTTAGAAGTGGAAAACAGTGGCAGCTCTAAGGCAGAACTCTTTACTGAAGGAGTCACTGCAAAAGTGAGGAGCTAGTAGTTAGCATTTTCATATAGGTGTTGTGTTTTTAGCATTTTTGACTGAGTTTTGGCGTTTATGGCCCTAATTGAAAGCTTAGCTCTAATAGTCACAGTTCTTCACTGCAGAAACATTTACAGAATGTAGAAATTCTAACTAAATCCACCTGGATTAGCATTACAAAGAAACATAACATTTATTTGTACTAACAAAATGCAGACATTTTAGTGCAGTAGGCATCATTATTTATACATTCTACTCTCCTAGAGTACAACAAATATGTCATTAAATATCGTTTTGAAATATCGGCCAAATCCAATCATCTGTCCTATGCCTATAATTTTTTAAAGCAGTTACTGCCAATACAGAGATGATTCCGAAATGCACCCCTAGTATAAATGCACTGGCATCCATATAAAGCACTCAGGCACTGTATTAAAGTTGGAGGCAGACTGCCTAATTCATTTTCTTAATAGCCTCACTTTGTTCACTCCAAATCCACAATTGCTTGTCTCAATAGAGTGTGCAAGTTAACGAATGGATGGTCAGTCTGTTCATCAAGAACTGTTGGCTCTAATCCTGCGTGTGCAGGATTTTTGGTGATTTGGCACACCTGCTGTATTTCCCTCCTGTGATTTAAGATCATTCTTATAAAACCTACTTTTGTCTGACAGCTCCAAAGCAGTATAATGTACAATATTCTTCATTTCCCTCCCTAGAAATCACCCTGTGAAGGCTCATGGTGGAGTCCCGTTTCTACCGACTCTGCAAATGTGCAGCCGTAGTTGGGCATAAACTGACTGAATAATTGAAAATGTGTCAGACTCCAGGGCCATTTCAGAGCAGTTTCATCCTGCTTGCAGTGAAAGAGGAAAAAAAGTACCCTACTATGGTGGGAGGCTGGAGAGTAGTGATGTGTCGGCCAGCTTTTTTATCAAGCCACACCTGCTCGACCTGTGCTAAGATGAATATCTTGTAAACTCAGATCCGCCAAGCATGGCACGACGTCCTCACTGCTAGACGTTACAAGTGTGAGATGTAGGGGAGCAGATGTCAGAAAACAATGTGATCCATCACCGATGGTGCTAGACACCTTTAATCCGATAATGACCCTGTCTCACATCCTTTTATTAAGAGTAAGAGATAAGAGAGAGGCAAGCTAGCCTCATAAAACGAGCCATTGTTATTCTACACAGCACAATGTGACTCATTGCTGATTTAGCATTCAGGAAAGCTATTTATTATGGATCGTAATTATTGTCAAGAGGCTCCAGCCAAATTAACAACCTCATGAATGCCTGAATGCTCTGAAAAAAAAATCTCATTACGGCAGCTGCATTGAAGTTGAATGTGCGTTAAACTCACGTGTCTCCACGTTGTGTTCTTTCAGATGTCTTGATGGACTCTACGACAGCGACAGCAGAGCTGGGCTGGACGATATACCCGTCATTAGGGGTGAGGACTAGTGAACTGACCTACTCTGCTTTTTACATTTGTCTTATGTAAACTGAATGCTGTGCTCATTTACCTTATATAAACCCAGTGCCTCACTGCACAAATGCACAATGACTCATGCTGCTCGATGCCTAAAATAGCATTTGAATCGGATCCAAATTAAGCATAATAAAATTGAATAAAGTCGCTGCTCTGTTTTCACAGTAATATGTATGTTCATATATTCCTATACATTTCTGTGAAACGAGGGCATTTCTATAGCACGTCTAATGACGTTTTTTCACCATTAGCAGGAGACATTACTAATTCACAGTCTCTGCTCTGCTCTCCTTCCAGTGGGAGGAGGTGAGTGGCTATGATGAGAATATGAACACCATCCGCACCTACCAGGTGTGCAACGTCTTTAACAGCAGCCAGAACAACTGGGTGCGCACCAAGTACATCCGGCGACGGGGGGCTCAGCGCATCCACGTGGAAATGAAGTTCTCGGTGCGAGACTGCAGCAGCATCCCCAACATCCCAGGCTCCTGCAAGGAGACATTCAACCTCTACTACTTTGAATCCGACTTGGACACGGCCACCAAAGTGTCCCCTGCCTGGATGGAGAACCCCTGGATTAAGGTGGACACCATTGCGGCCGATGAGAGCTTCTCGCAGGTGGACCTTGGGGGGCGTGTCATGAAGATCAACAGGGAGGTGCGCAGCTTCGGACCTGTGTCTCGTAACGGCTTCTACTTGGCCTTTCAGGATTACGGGGCCTGTATGTCGCTCATTGCCGTGCGCGTTTTCTACCGAAAGTGCCCCCGTGTCGTGCGCAACGGGGCCGTCTTCCCAGAAACTTTGTCAGGGGCCGAGAGCACTTCCTTAGTGGCGGCTAGGGGAACCTGTATACCCAATGGAGAGGAGGTGGACGTGCCCATTAAACTGTACTGCAATGGAGACGGGGAGTGGTTGGTTCCTATTGGGCGATGTATGTGCAAAGCAGGACATGAAGCAGTGGAGAATGGCACCATCTGCAGAGGTGAGTTGCTCTGATTGTTTACAGTTATTGACCAAGGCTGGATTTGGTTTAATTTAACCTTTAAATGCTTGGGTCGCCGGCAACCCTTGACTTCATTTGCCCCACTGCCACACCCATTTTTTAAAATAAGTAACAAACAAAATGACCAAATATAACAAATTTGGCTGCCATTATTACTTGAACAACTCAAATAGCTGAAATAAAAGACTTTGATATAGTACGTAAATATTGTTAAAGCTACACTATGTAAGATTTGGGGACCTCTCTGGTGGAAAGGTGTAATGGCACCATATTTTACCTTTTTTTTTTTCTCCTGACTCAGTAATGCTACATGTGTATATATATATATATATATATATATATATATATATATATATATATATATATATATGTAGGGGTGGCACGGTGGCGCAGTGGGTAGCGCTGTCGCCTCACAGCAAGAATGGCCTGGGTTTCCTCCGGGTACTCCGGTTTCCTCCCACAGTCCAAAGACATGCAGTCAGGCCAATTGGACATGCTGAATTGCCCCTAGGTGTGAGTGAGTGTGTGAATATGTATGTCTGTCTGTCTGTCTGCCCTGCGATGGACTGGCGACCTGTCCAGGGTGTATCCTGCCTTCTGCCCAATCACAGCTGGGATAGGCTCCAGCACCCCACCGCGACCCAGAAGGATAAGCGGTTTAGATGATGTATGTATGTATGTATGTATGTATGTATATATATACACACATATGTGTGTGTGGATCCTTTAAAGAACAGGATAAAAGAAACAAAGTATGCAGAGAAACATAAAAAGAAATATACATTTTTAATTACAATTATTATTTTGGACCTTGCAGTGTTGCACTGGAGAAGAGCTGGTTTTGTTGCACATCTGAAAAGTTCTTCTGTACAGCTGTAAATAAAGTATGTTCATGGTTTTGTTCCCTGCTCCTCATCTGTCTCTTTCAGCAACAGTCTCTGTAGCACGGTGACAGCAGGAATCACACCTGAAGACCTCTTGTTTTACATCCTGTTGGACTCTTTTGTTTGGCTGGTTGAGTTGCAGTTGAATGTCCTCTAAAGCCAGACAGACGCTGCATGACTTTAGAAATCTTTTTCTTTGGTGACTCACACTATACGTTTTAATAAATCATCATGACCAGACAAAGCCTACAATTTATACGCTCACACTGTAGAAAAACACTGTCTGACTGACATGCTATGTGAAACGCAGCCCCTACATACAGCTCTGATGTGTTTGTCATTTCACATAGTGTATGTCTGGTGGGAATATGCCAGGACAAAAAGTTTAAAGTGAGCAGTGACCAGTGACCAGTGCCCAACGCAATGCACATCAGTGCGAGCAGATGGATATTCACTGTCACTAGGCTTACATCACATGTTGGATACATATGATATACTGGTACCATCGCATTTTTATGAGTAGGAGTATGAGTAAAGGATAAATAAGCATGATATCGGGTCGATACCCGATACCAGTATTGGCATCGATAGAGAAAATCGTGCAAGGAACAGTTGAAGAAACATCGCTCATACTGATCTGACTTTTAGCAGAGGTGTTATGAGAGGACTTTGCGGGGGCAGTGCAACTCTTCCAAAATGCCTCTTGGTACTGCCTCTTCTTTGGGGCCGTCACATGTGTGCTACCTGCGATAGCTAACTGTACTACTTTGAAGTTAATGTGAGCACCGCAGCGCAGCAGCCAGCAATCTGTAGAAGCATCTAATTGTGCTAATATGAAAGCCTTTGCTAAAAATCCTTATGTCAAAAAAAGTAGTGCTCCAACCTCATCTAAACAGACCGATATTTTGAGGCAGCTGTATTTTTCCCCTGTGCTTTTCATTTGGTACACATTCATGTAAGGTTTTAGAAAGTAACTTGGAAGTAAAGTAATAAATAGTGAGATTACTTTTCCCATAATGTAGTAAGTAATCAAATTACAGTGTGAGAGTAGTAATTAGTCACTTGTAAATGATTAGTTTTTGTAAGCCAGCTATGCATACATTGCTGTTCATACACATTTGATATGTCATTCTCCTTCCTATTAGGGCTGTATAAATCATAATTAGTAAAAGAAGTAAATACTTAACCCTTAATCAAATAAGTACATTGTTATATAATTCTCGTTTCAAGTGTGTCTGCGCTTATAAGTAAGAAGGTTCGCTGCCCTCTCTGCAAACGCACACGGATGCGTGGTACAGTCATGCAGCCCCTGCAGTTATAAAACACTCACTCTCTGTGGAACGATGGGAGCCAGAAAGACATCAAGCCATTGTGTCTTTGCCTCTATCTGTCTCCATTTCTCCATCTCTTTGTCTCCACTTACAATCTGTGCAGAGCCTGTGTAATAACACACATGTACAGTACACACATACGCATCCACAGTTAACCTAGCATAGTAACATGATGTTGTGCTGTCTGGGTATTAATGCATGGCATGCGTCGTCTTCATTCTGTAAGAATAATGGAACAATAATGAATAGAAATCCTTCAGTCGGTGGTAATGCTAATCCTTCAGGCAGTGGTAATGCTATCCTATGGAAGGATTTAGGGAGAAGGTGTTTTTCCCCTTCTCTCAGCTCTCTGCAGATATGATTACATTCATAGAGAGCGGCGCTGCAATGAGGAAATGATTTTGGCAGAGTTCTCCTGGGCACTGTTGACAGAATATAAATTACTAATGTCCCTCCATCTGGAGCAGTTGATGGATGGAAATCGGCAATATCCTCGGCGAGCACGCGGCAGATTGTCTCTTTTATTTCCCCTGGTGTTAATCCCCCTCGCTGCCACTGCTTTAATGACACTACTAATTGACTAATTTGGAGTGTGGAGGGGGAGCAGCGTGGACGCTTCAACACAGCTCTCCCTGGTGATTCCATTCAAATATCAAGCACAACTAATATATCCCCCTGTGGTGGTTAACCAAGAAGTGCATGTAGACAAAGGGATTTAAAAGCTCCGTTTTCTGGCATCACTGGAAACATTCAGTAGTTATTCTCATTAGCAGGAGGTAATGATAGAATGGTTTAATTGTTTGTAAGCTTGTCGTATCGGCCTTTTGTAGTATTTTTAGAGCAGATCAGTGCAATAATCTTTTTCATTTGGTCTCTTGTGTCCTACAGTCCGTCCCCAGGCTCAGTATTTAGTTAGAAGACATGTTAATAACCCTGATTCTTGAATTATGGAAGGCAAAGTCTGGGAACAGCTGGATCTCATATTCTTGGAATGGCGAATGTACTGATGGGAAAATTCTAGGCCAGTGCTGATAATTGGCTGTATCTACATGTGCTATTAATACATAATATACTTAACCCAAAATATAGGTACTAAATGATTACTAATTATATAAGTGGTATTACTAAAGAATTAGGTTTAACAGCATTGTGAAATTAAAGGGCATGTATGCTACAGTTTTTTTTGTACATCATTTTATTAGTAAGGTCCACTTACGGCATTTAATGCAGATTTACATACCTAAAAATCTACTTTCTAGTCCTCTCCTTATCCCTTAGAATTAAACAGACTTTTATTATTGTGTCTTCAAAACTGATATACCCAAATGAACTCTGGTCTGAGTGGTTGCCCTGTATTTTGTCTCATTCTGAAGGCAGTCCAGGCTGAAACACTCACTCTCTCACTGTGAATGGACAGGGTTAAACTATTGTAGCATGAATAGGCAGATATATGTGTATGTGTGTTGGTTTTCATGACTTCACAAATAAAGTCAATTCAAATTGTGGTGCTTTTACAGCATAGTTTCCACACTGTAAAACATAATAATTTCACTGTTTTTTTGGTTTACTTTACTTACTTGTTAAAATGGCTAATACAAATCTAGTAACACCTACTATTTCTTGTCTAATCCTTAGTTGCTTAGATAAATCTAGTTAAGATCAGTTCATTTAGATAAGTCCTACAGACTGAAGAGTCTTTTGCCCAAAATGCCAAAGTTTAAGCTTGAACCTGATAACTAACTTTACTTAACTTTTTTGAGGTGAAAAGATTGTTTTTTTTTTTACATGAAGTCAGTTAAAATTTACAGTGCATAAATAGGCTGACTTTTAAGTGAAAGGTACATTTTTAACATCTTTAACAATGTTTACATAATACAAAGGAAATGTATTTTTTTCCATGATAAGGACCCTTTATAAATTAAGCATGCAGACCCATTGAGAATGTGTGCTAATTAAAACGTTATAGCATACAAAATATTGATCAAATCCTTATGTTACACCAGTACTTGTGATTTTATTCCAGTACCATCCAATTCCAATTAGGGATGCATCGATACCGATACTGGTATTGGGTATGGGTCCAGTACTGTGCTCATTTACTCGTACCCTTACTCATAAAAATTTAATGATAGCAACATTTCAATACCAGCTGTGACGTAAGCCAACAGTACGCTGCAGTGCTAATGAACAAACTCAGTGAAGGAGGCTCTGCTCACACAGACTCCATGACAGTCGTACACAAAGTTGCCGGTCACTTTAAGCATTCTGCCTTGGCAGATCGCCACCACGAATATGTAGCAGCGAGGTATAAACATTAACACAGTGTGTGTTTTTTCTTTTGTGAAATAGACTGTAGAGAGATTGTATTGCCCTACCATGTACATCACCTGCTGCTTTTAGCTTCTGCGCACAGTGTTAGCAGCGCTGCTCTCAGCATTTCTGCTCGGTACTCGGTGCATGGTATGTCATTCTGAATGAAACAACTTTGTTTGAAATTGTTCACAGACTGAGCTCTTTGTAGATGCTGCTTTTCACGTAACGCCTGTCGGACCGAGCGTTGTCTTACAGTATGAGTACACAAATTGTAGAATTTGTCTGTACATGATAGTCTATTCAAACATACAGTGTGAGTCACTAAATAACAAGATTTTTAACATCACAGAGTACATGCCTGGCTTTAGAGGGCATTCAGCTACAGCTCAACCAGCTAAACAAAAGACTCTGAGAAGACATAAAACTCCACACGCAAACTTGTAGCATTCAT